CCGATCACCGACGCAGTGTGGCCGCTGCGCTCCCACGGCGCAGCTCCGCCCACGAGAGGCGTAATCCAGTGCATCTCATCTACACATCGGCACACGAGAATGGCAAGGTGAGGCAAAGCACGATCGTAGCGACAGTGGTGGGTACAGAGACGTGTAGCAATGGCTGGATGGCGCACCAGTGTCGAGGATATGCATGTCGTTGAGACGCATGTTGGTGCCCGCGTTGCCGCCAAAGATGTAGATCTTGCTGCCCACCACGGAGGCCGTGTGGCCATACCGCCCACACGGTGCCTTGCCGGTGATGTGCGGCTGCGTCCAAGCATACTGGACCTCTCCTTCTGCACAGCGGGCAGAGACAGGCAAAAGGGTCAGATTGGAGGCCCGCAATGGTCAAGGAAGAGGAAATGGACCTTCGTTCACCTCCTTCTGATCCAGCACATGTACGTCGTTGAGTTGCGAATTGCCATCAAAGCCTCCAAACACGAAGATTTTTCGGCCTACAACCGAGGCCGTATGTCCATAGCGTCCGCATGGCGGCGTCCCACGCACGTTCACCGCTTCCCAGCTCATCTATCCTGTACAGGCGCAACCAATCCTTCGTTTCTTCGACGACAACCCAACTTTGTGTGGAGGAGCAGGGAAAACCGGGCTCGGTCTTGACCGGCAAGACCACATTTCGCATTCTCAGAACAGGGCTCAAGCCTTAGCCGGGCTGTCCTGGGCTTCGGTGCACCGAACGTGAAGGAGACCACAACTCCGGAAGACATCTCTTGTTCGGCGGCAAGAGAAGGAAGAGGGAGAGGCAGAGCTCTGTTCGTGAGGAGGAGGCATCGATTTGAAATCACATCGCGACATGGATCAATCACAGTCACCCGCCGTTCCCATTCCCTCTTCGCCCTCCCGCGGTGCCGCCGGCGCGCAAGATGGAGGTGTCATCGTTGACACCCTGGTCGTGAAGAACATCCCATTTCACCTGGCCGATGTCGATTTTGTCTCCATTTTGGTAAGCTCAATCGATTTGATCTATTAATCATATGAATATCGTGGTCTAATTTGCATAAAATCTCCAGAACACGTTCGACGCCAAGCCCAAGCAGGTCCGATACATCTATGACAAGGCTGGTGGCGGCGGCTTCAAGGGCATGGCCTTCGTCAAGTACAATCGCGATGTCAACATCAACGCGATGATGGCCGCTCTGCAGGGCCTCGACATAATGGGACGCAAACTGCGGATCGAGCTGAAGCGCACGCCGGCCCAGCAGCCCCAAACGCCCACCCAACCTCAGCAGTTGGCGTCGTACGAGGAGGGTTACGACAAGGCCTCGCCGCAGCGAATCAACGGGCGGGTAGGTCAACCGGTCTTTCTCTCACCTCGCTGTGCACTTTCTCACTTTCTCTCCCTCTTCTTTGTGTTCTGGCGCAGCCTCGCCGAGGGACCGTGGAGCGGAGGGGCCGAGAGGAGGACGTTGTGGTCGAGCCCTTCGGGAGCTACGGCAGCAGCTACGGCAGCCCCACGTCCTCGTCCTGGGAACCATCTCGCAAGAGGTAAACCAACCCTCATCCTTTCACACGAGTGCTCTGCCCCATCCCATGGCCTACACTCTTCTCGCGGCATAGGTCGCTTCTGTACTGATCATTCATCGTTTTCCTTATCATCAGGACTACCCGAAGTGTGAGCAAGGGCGGCAACAGCTACATCCCCAAGGGACCGGACGGGACCAAGGGTTTCTCCAGCGAATACCAGGCGCGCAGGACAACCTTCCCCGCCACCCAGCCGCCGGCTGAGGCCATCAACGGGTAACGAACAACTACTACTGCCCCCGATTCACACCATTCCATGTGTGCCTGGGCGCAGCTGACCTGCTGTCTGTCTCGCGTGTCTGCAATACAGAGTCTCGGCGGAGGAGACCTCGGAGCCCAGCCGAGAGCTGGCCGTCAACGTTGGCGAAATCAGCGTGCAGGAGTGATCGCCGTCGGCTGCGACTTATTTATTTGATGTGCGCTCTTGTGTCTGCCGGTCGCCGATACTCAAACATACCATTCATTCCAAATGAGTCATGCAGGAAATATCGTTGGTTTCTGCTGCAGTTTTCCAAGCTGTTTCGGGCTGTGCACGGATTCGTCAGTTTTTTTTGGCTGCTGCTTGGCGACTCGTTGCTGTGCCTCTCTTCCCCTTCTTCCCCGTGCGCACAAGATCGAGCAAGATGGCAGCTATGCAGAAGGCAGTGGTCACCATCGGTCAGGATAAGATTATTCGATCTGTGAATCGCGAGGCCATCCGCTTGTTTGGGTACCAGCGCGCCGACGAGCTAATCGGGTATGCCCCCCCCCCGCCGATTCAACATCTCTCTCCTTTCCTCTCCTTCATGCCCGCTGACATCGACTGCCCTTCGCAGGAAATCAATCAACGTTCTGGTGCCGCCTCCCTGGAAGGCTCAGCATGACTCCTACATCGACAACTACCACCGCACCGGCATACCGAAGGTCGTGCCCCCTCCCCCAACCCACTGCGTTTCCCTTGCCTTTTGCGCCGCCACTTTGCCGCAGTCATTTGTGGTGCCTCGGACTCTGTCTTACGTGAATGTGGGAATGCCGCCCGCCTGGACAGGTGATCGGCAGAGCGCGAGAGGTGGAGGGCGAGAAGAAGGATGGAAGCGTGGTGCGCATTCGTCTGTCCATCTCCAAGATCACCATCCAGGACGAGGTGTTCTACTGCGGCCTCATCGAGGCACTCGAGGACAAGACCGGGTTCGTCACCTCCGACGACAAGGGAGTACGTTGACCTTTGGGCCGCTACAACACACACACACACACACACAACACAGCACAATCGTCACGTCATGGATCGCACTGCGCGTGTGAATATCTGCTGATGCCGGGGTGTGCAGGTGATTCTGTCGAACAATGGGACGTGCGAAAACATATTCGGGTACTCGCGCGGCGAGCTGATCGGCCGCAACGTATCCATGCTGGCCACGGAGCCTCACGCGTCGCTGCACGACGATTACATGCGGCGCTACAGAGAGACGGGAGGTAAGATGTCATACACCGACCTTCTTCTTCTTCTTCTTCATCATCATCATCATTCATTCATTCATCATCATACTCTTCTTCACATGCATGATGGGGCTCACACCGCTTGTTCTTCTTGTCTCCGCAGTGAAACACGTGCTGGGGCGAGTGCGCAATCTCAATGGGCGTCACAAGGACGGATCGGAGATGCCCATCTCGCTGCTCATCAACGAACGCATCGAGGGCGGCAAGCGCACCTTCTGCGCCCACATCAACCAAATCACCGAGCAGATCGAAGCCCACGTCACGATCGACCACAAGGGGTCCGTTCGCCACACACACACGCACACACACACACCACACACACACACACACGCACACGCACACACACACTCCGCGCAAATCGCACCACCGCGGCCGCACACACTGACCCTACATATCTGGATTACAGCACGATTCGGTCGTTGAATCAGGCGATGTGGATGATGTTCGGTTATGCGAAGGAGGAGCTGCTCGACCGCAAGATCAAGATCATCATGACCCACCCGCACTCGGAGATGCACGACACCTACCTCAAGCGATACTTCCGCACCCACAAGAAGCGCATCATCGGCACCACCCGCACGCTCAAGGCGCGCCACAAGGACGGCTCGACCTTCTTGATCAACCTCGAGGTCAACGAGTTCATGGAAGAGGGCGAAATCATGTTCGGCGGCAAGATCACGCGCGTGCTGTCGCAGCAGGGTTCGCAATCACCACCACCATCGCCCAAGGCTCTCACGTGTGCGTGTGTTTCGTCTCACGCTATTGTGTGTCGTGCGTGTCGTGTCGTGTCGTGTGTGTGTTATTGTGTGCAGAGAAGAAGCATGCGAAGGAGGTGCGGTACATCGGCAACTACGAAGTCGAGTCCATACTCGCCGAGGGCCTGTACGGCCAGGTTCGACTCGCACGTCATCACCTCACCAAGGAACGGGTACGCGACCCACTCTCCCACTCACCGACGAATGCGTCATTGCGCCCCCCCCCCACCACTCACACGCTGAGCGCGTTTGTGTGACAGGTCATCATCAAAACCATAGAGAAGTCGAAGGTCGATCTCGACCGGTTCCGTGAGATCGAGGTCATGAAGTACCTTCGCCACCCGCACGTGTGTCGCCTGCTCGAGGTGATCGAAGGTACTCGTAGCCAGCCAAGCGATACTCAGCCTGTTCGTTCCCCCCCCCAGAGACTCACACCTATTTTTTCCCGGCCCCAGCCCCGCAGAAGCTGTACATCGTCATCCAGTACATCGAGGGCGGAGAGCTGTACGAGTACGCCGTGACCAAGTACGTGAACGACCACCACCCCCCGCTTGACGATGATCGTCGCTTACCTAAATACACCGATGATCGGCACAACAACTGCGAATGTGTGGTGGTGGTGGTGATGATGATGATGAACCTCATCAGGGACAAGCTGCCCGAGGCCGAGGCGCGCGTGTTCTGGCGACAGATCGTGCAGGGCGTGGAGTACATGCACTCCCAGGGGATCGTGCACCGCGACCTGAAGCTGGAAAATATCATGCTGGACAGGAACAGGAACGTCGTAATCATCGGTTCGCGCACCTCCTTCTCTTCTTCACTCTATTTAACAGCAACATATTGATTTTTCATGTGTATGTTTATATATCTAAATATATATTATATATATATATATATATTATGTCCAGACATGGGGCTGTCCAATTTTACGGCCGATGGGAAGCTCCTGGAGACGTTTTGCGGCTCATCGTCCTATGCCGCACCGGAAATGTTCCTCTGCCGTCGGTACAAGGGACCCGAAGGTACCTTCACACCCCTGCACTCCTCCTGTTTGCTCTTGATTGGCCACCACTAGCGTGTGTACATCTCATATGATGTATGTTAACATATGTATGGTGTATGTTAATATATGATATATATCAGTCGATATATGGTCGATGGGGGTGATCTTGTACTGCATGGTGCTGGGCTATCTGCCGTTCGAAGACCCGCAGCACATCGTCGACGCCGACTTCATCCCGTTCGAGCCGCAGGACAACATCTCGCCCGAGTTCCAGGACCTCATCCACCGCATCTTCCGGTTCGACCCGGCCGAGCGGATCACCATCGAAGAAGTGCGCAAGCACCCGTGGACCAACAAGGCACGTCCCTCGCTCATTGCTGTGCGGCTTGTGTCGTGTGTGTCGCGCGTCTGACTGTTGGAATGTCGGGTATGCGCACGCGCACACAGGACATGCCGGAGCTGGAGCCTCCGCCCAAGGTGCACGCGAGCGAGGTGGAAGAGCTCCAGCGCGCGGATCTGCTGAAGAAGCTCGAGGAGTTCGGGTTCGACAAGAACGACATTCTCAAGAGCCTCTCGCAGGAGGACTTCAATCAGATCACCGCCTCCTTCTTCCTCCTCCAGCAGCAGCAGGCCCACGACGACGAACACAACGCCACCACGACCGGGGCGGCTCGGCCCGCTGGCGGCGGCTGCCCCTTCGCCCACCTCCACTCTGCGCAGAAGGAGGACAACGGCGAGAAGAAGAAGCAGGTCAAGGCCGGCGAAGAGGAGGGAGAGGCCGACGACGGTCACCACCACCACCACCACGACAAGGACAAGGCGAGCACGAAGGAAAAGAAGGAGAAGAAGAGCAAGAAGGAGAGC